GGGGGGGGGATTAGTAAAAAAAATAATGCCGGAGGTGATGGGTCACGCGCGGAGGAGCCATCCCTGTCGGACGCACCTCATACGTCCGGTTGGGATCCGGGTCGGAGAGGCCGTAGCCCGGGCGATCGATCGTGATGATGGACAGTTTCCTGAGAGCAGGAGGGGGGACGGGGAGGCCGCCGGCGACGGGATGAGAGGGAGATGAGGAACGAGCGCCGGGCGGCATGGCAGCCGGAGGCCAGGGGAGAGAAGGGGGGAGGGAGGACCCCCCCCCCCCGGGGGGGGGGTGACGTACCGGAGGTCGCCGGAGTACCGCCGCGGGAAGCCGTGGAACTCGAGCCGTGACCCGGCCAAGCCATGAATGTAGATGACCACCATGCTGCCAGGCTGCGAGTCGGGCCAGGGGCGGGCACAGCGGGGGCGAGGGGAAAAAGGGTCAGCGTCTGGGAGGAGGGCGGGCGACAATTCGGGCGCCCTCCCGGGTTGGGCGCGGGGAAGCACCACCCGCATGCATGGGAGGAGAGGGGCTGGGCCATGGGGCGTGTTGCTGAGGGGGCCGACGCACGGCCGAGGGGTCCTGGTTGCCGTGCAGGCAGAAGCACAGCTGGCGGCCGTCGCGCAGCTTGACAAAGCGGTTCTCGTACTCGTGGCCCCCGCAGAGGGTGGCCGCTGGGCGTCCGGGGTGCCGGGCCCGGTGGCGCCGGAGCACCACCTCTCCCAGGAGGATGGCCAGCAGCGCGATCACCGGCAAGGCCTTCAGCACAAGGAGGCAGCCGTCGGTAATGATGCCCATGATGAAGGAGGTGTCTGTGTGTGTGTGTGTGTGTGTATGGGGGGGGGGGGGAAGGCGCGGGGAGAAGAGGCGCAGGTGGCCAGGAGCGGAAAAGCCGGGGCGAGGGGAGAGCGGGCTGAGCGGGCGGAGTGGAGGGGGTGCCTTGGGCGCGGAGCCCGCCGGCCCTGGGACCCGGGCGGGCGCGCCCTCTTCAGGGCCACAGTGCCTCGGGACGGGCGCGCGCCGATCTCCGGCAGCCGGCCGGCCATGTCCCGGCAGCAACGGAAGAAAAAACAAAAACAACAGCCCCAACCGGCCGGACCTTTTCGGGCCGCCGGGCCGCGAATGCCAGTGTGTGGGTGTTTTTATTTTATTTTTGGCCCGCCGGAAGAAAGGCCACAACTGGGAAGGGGGGAGGCTTCGGAGGCCCCCGCCCCGCCGGCACGATCGCCGGCTTGAGCTGGCCCGCGCTGGGCCAGACTCCTCCTTTCGATGGTGTGTGTGTGTGGGCACGCGCTGCCGGGGGCCGGCGGCCTTGGAGGCCGGCGCCCTGCCCCGGGGGCTGGGGAGCGCGTCGCCGGGCGTGATCCCCGCGCCACGGGCACCGCGGTGGATCACGCGCCGGGCCTCTCATCGGCGCGGCCCGGGCCCGTCGTGCGCGCTTGGGTGTTTGCAAGTGATAACCCCCCCCAATGCCATCGTCGGTTGCCGGCCGAGGGCCCCCGCACACCTGAGCGGGGGTGCTCCCCGAGACGGGGGGGGGGGGGGGGCGGGCCGACGGGGCGGACGCGGGGAAGGGAGGACCGCATCAGACACCCGCGAGGGGCCCCAAGCATGTGGAGCTGCATCAGCGGGCGGGGCCCCGGAGGTTGGGGGCCAAGTAATCGCGCAGATGGCGTCGCCCGGCGGGCTCGAGGCCGATCAGCGGAGGGGGGACGCCCGCCGGGCTGGTGTCCCTTTGTCCCCGGGCGGGCGGGCGGGCGGGCGGGCGGGCGGGCTCCTCTGGGCGGGGCAGCTGTACGGCCCAGCGAGCATCGGGCCTGGCACACCGGGCGGGGACGCATCGCCCTCCGAGGGGGGGGGGGGGTTGCTCCTCGGTGTGCTGATCGAACCCCCGGGGGGGCGCCTCGGCGTGCCCCCGGCCGGCAACGGCCGAAGCAGTGCCTGCGGCCCCCCCCCCTGGGGCGGGTTCTTCCTCGCGGCTCGGGGGAGCCGCCTCATGGCGTCCGGGGAAAAGTCGCGGGGCATGGGGGGGGAGGGGGGGGGAGAGACAGGGTCGCACCGCGGTGCGCCGGCACGCATGCGGCCCTGGGCGCATCCGCGCGTGCGCACGCCCCGGGGATAGTATGCTGGCGCCCCGCGGCGCGATCGTGCGGCCCGTCCCGGAGGGCGCGCCGGCCTGTGCATGCGGCGGCCCGCTCACGCGCGTGTGGCGGACACGCCCACGCCCGCACGCAGACATGCGCGCAGGCCGGTTTCACACACACACAATCGGGCACACCAGGG